TAAAGCACTTTGAATTACCATTGTGTATGAAATGTGCTATATAAATAAACTTGCCTTGCCTTGAATGTTATTGCGTTATCTCGCAAAATATTACAGCCAGTGTCATTTATAGTAAAGAAAGATGCTCAAGCATGCGTTCCAAACACAACATTTGGCAAAGAACTATAAATTCTATAAATTAATATATATAAATGTACTTTATAAAACGGAGAGTTCCGGTCCTTGATTCTGATTGGCTGAGCCGCGTTTGAAGCTGTTGTAAATTACTCTACAAACATACACCTTTGTTTATGTTTGTGTGTTGCTCGGCAACCACTTTGTTGGAACCACAACTGTTTCTGAGGAACTACATTGTTTGGTGCAAGAATACTGTTTTTATTAATATCATTACACTTTATTTGCTCTGTTTTATTTTATGAAACCTTACTACGTATATGGAATAACCGTACCTAACAATGCCCCTTAGCTGTTATAAATTCACTGTAAACCATGGCTTCACGGGGCTTATTGCTTTAATAAATGATCTACTAAAAAACTCACCAGCTGATTCAAACCACACTGAGACATCAAACATGACAAAGAAAGGTGACATTAGTGAAGAGAAAGCAGACTCTTGATCTGATGAATCACGTTCACAGGTGGCCGAAGACATTGGCTGGTTTCATGGCCTTCCTGCCGTGTGCCGTGTTCAGCTCTAGCTCCGCCCCTCAGGAGAAGAGGGTGTGGTCCCGCTCTGACTCCACCCCTCAGGAGAAAAGGGCATGGCGCAGGTGTGACCGCATGGGCCGCTGGGCGGAGCACGACTATAACCAGTGCTCATACGTGAGCCAGTTCACCCGCAGCCTGCATGAGCTCACACAGGTGTGTACCTTCTTCATCATCATCATCATCATTCTCATCAGCAGCGAGTGTTTTATTGCAGTCTCAGACCGAATGGTTCTTTCAGAGGGGTGTTATCCTGCTGGAATCGCTTCTGGCGCGACACACCTGATTATACGGAGCAGGTGTTCAACTTGATTTACTCAATCACTTGTGTGTTAAATGCTGAAAACATCCGCAGCAAGGGATCCTTTGACGATTGATTGGCTCTCAATAATCTTCACAATTATTATTTTAAGTTGCTTTGGACCTGTGTAAATCTGTAGTAACAGGTGATCCGATCACACTAGTTCAGTGCTAAACACTGATTCAGACAGAATCTAAAGTGTTTTATTAGTCACATGAAAATAACATTTGTTATTTTAGAAGCCAAAACATGCATTTCAACTAGTTATTTTTAGAATGAAATAACCATCTGAAAAATTTGGAAAAGCGAATATAGAGTATAGCGTTGAAAAATTTGGGACTGATAAGATTTTTAAGTGATAAGAAGGGGTTGATATGTTTTGAAAGAAGTCTCTTCTGCTCTCTATTTGTTTTCTATTTAAAAATTATTTAAAATGTAATTTATTTCTGTGATCGATGATGAAATTTGAAAATTAAGGACATTCATATATTTTAACTAGGGATGCACCGATACTGAGCTCCTGTACTCGTACTCATTAAAATGCCCCGATACCAAACGCCGATACTACACAGCATGTGATAAGCGCCATATTCAGACAAAGAAACACCAACAACAGAACAACAGACAGCAGAATGGAGTTAAGGATGTCTACTATGAAGTATATGTATGCAATGAATATAACGTTAAACATTCAGTGTTAACGCCTGGATAGCTGATGTGCGCGAGCTGATAAACAAAGCACGCTGAGTGGATTGAGCTCGCGGCGGCGCAGATGCGCGAGCTTGTCGAGTGAATATCCCTTTCTCACAGACATCACTGGAAAGTTTGTAGTTCGTTCGGATATGTAAAAAACAAGTAAGCAAAACAATGCACAAGTTACTTAACGGTAGGGAATTTGATAAATGAAGTTAACCAACTAACATTATACATACTCTTTTGGTTTCTGTACCCAATATTTTAAAAATGTACAAATGCAATAAAAATATTGGTATCGGTACTCGGTATTGGCAAGTACCAAAAATAAAAGTATCGGTATCGGGCGAGTACTGGAAAAAGTGGTATCGGTGCATCCCTAATTTTAACTTTAACACTTGTAGCTAATAATTGTTCTGAATAATATTACTGAAAGAAGTCTCATCAAGGCTGCATTTATTTGATAAAAAATACAGTAAAAATTGTGAAATATTATTATAATTTAAAAGAGCTGTTTTCTATGTGAATATCTGTTAAACTGTAATTTATTTCTGTGATCAAAGCTGAATTTTCAGCATCATTACTCCAGTCTTCAGTGTCACATGATCTTCAGAAATCATTCTAATATGCTGATTTGCTGCTCAACAAACATTTCTGATTATTATCAATGTTGAAACAGTTGTGCTGCCCAATATTTTTATGGAAACTGTGATACATTTTGTTTTTTCAGGATTCACAGATGAACAGAAAGTTCAAAACAACAGCATTTATTTGAAATATAAATCCTTTGTGACATTATAAATGTCTTTACTGACACTTTTGATCAATTTAATGCATCCTTTTTAAATAAAAGTATACATTTCTTTTAAAAACATTCTTACTGACACCAAGCTTTTGAGCAGCAGTCCTGATGCACATGCAGAGACGGATGTCACTAAATATGCTGAGATGACTATAATCTTCTGGTTCTCTCAGATGTCGGTGAACGTCTCCAGCGCTCTGGCATTGGCGCAGCAGCTCTCGTCTCTCACCAGCAGGGCGGCGCTGTTTGGAGGCATGATGGATGTGATATTTGTCACTCATCTGGTAGAAAGACTCACACGCCTGGTGGATCATGTGAGAGAGGTGAGAATCACATCCCATCACGCCTCAGTCGGACTATTTTTGTGAAATGTGTCAAAATAAAGTGAGTTTATGCTTAAAACAATAAAAAATATCTGCCAAAAATTATTATAGTTAACCAAACGGAGAAAAAAGTCATTATTTGAATTACTATCTGTCTATCTATCTATCTATCTATCTATCTATCTATCTATCTATCTATCATCAACTAAAATGAAAATTAATAAAAACTATAAAGAGCTATTTAAAAAAAATGCTTAAAATGAGAAGTATCTGCCAAAAATATCATTATAAGCAACTTAAACTTATTTTATTTCAGCATTTCTCATTTTCATTTAGTTTAACCTGATGTACTAAAATAAAATTAAAATGGAAATAAAAATTAATAAAACTATAAAGACATCAAAAAAATTCTTAAAATTACAAAAAATATCTGTCAAAATATCCTGTTATAAGCAGGGTTCTTATAGTAAACCAACTAAAATAAAATAAATAGAAAAAAATAGAAAAACAAACTTATTATTATGAATTTTCATTTAGTTTAACTTAAAAAAATTATTTAAACTATTTTATTTCAGCATTTCTCATTTAGTTAGATTGGCTTGAGAAAAATGCTAATCATGCTAGCCTCATGCTAGCAACATGCTAATCATGCTAATCACATTAGTAACATGTTAACAACATGTTAACTACATGTTAATCATGCTAGTAACAGGCTAATCATGTTAAAAAACATTCTAGCAAACATGCTAATCATGCTAGAAACTTGTTATCAACATGCTAGAAACTAGTTAACAACATGCTAATTATGCTAGAAACATGCTAACACCATGCTAATCATGCTAGAAACATAATTAGCAACATGCTAGCTACATGATAATCATGCTAGCAACACTTTAATCACTTTAGAATCATGCTAGCAACATGCTAACAACATGCTAATCATGCTATGAACACGCTAGTAACATGCTAATCATGCTAGAAATATGCCATCAACATGCTAATCATGCTAGAAACATGTTAATCACATTAGAAACGTTAACAACATGTTAATCATGTTAGTAACATGTTAATCATGATAAAAACATTCTAGCAAAAATGCTAATCATGCTAGAAACATGCTAGCAACATGTTAATCATGCTAAGAACACGCTAGTAACATGTTAATCATGCTAAACACATGCTAAACATGCTAGAAACATGCTGTCAACATCCATCTAATCGATCTAAATTTTCAAACTTCAAGCTTTTACAACTGCTTTATACTTTCAGGCTAGGCTTTCTCAAGCCAACCTAGAGCTTGTCTTGACCAGGGGTGCCCAAACTTGGTCCTGGACACACCAAGTTAGCTCCAACTTGCCTCAACACACCTGCTGGTAAGTTTCTAGTATGCCTATAAGAGCTTGATTAGCTGGTTCAGGTTTGTTTAATTGGGGTTGGAGCTAAACTCTGCAGGACGCCGGCCCTCCAGGACCGAGGTTGGGCACCCCTGGTCTTGATGAACTTTGTCTAGTTTAACTTGACGTACTAAAACAACTAGAACTAAAACAGAAATAAAAATGAATAAAAACCAAGTAGATAAAAAAAATGATAAAATGACAAAATAGCTAAAACTTTAAAATTAAACTGAAAATATAAAATAAAAACGAATTCAAAATATCACTAAAATCTTTAATAGTATTTCAGTGATACTGAAATAACACTGGTTTTAAGCACTCACTAGATCTGGATAATTTTCATTTAATTGAAATTCACTTCATCTTGATTTAAGAATGTTTCGATTTTTGTGCTGGAAAGCAAGACAAAGACCCTGAGGAAGAGCATTATGTGATCAGTGTGAAGTGAAGTCCGCTCACATGTAGACTGCAGTCGTATATATCTCACGCTCTGATGTGTGACTCTGTCTCTTCCTCTGCTACTGTGCAATTTAGATGCAATTTGAGTCACTTGATGCTGTTATCAGCTATTTTCAGCTTTAAGTGTTACGTACACATGTTCACTCAACACGTTTAGCATTTTAATAACACTACCACAAGAGCTCTAGGAGGCTGTTTATGTGTGAATGAGGAGAAAACACATTCACTCGCTTTGGAGAAATTTGTATTAATTACATAACATTTGCTGCCATATGTGACATACACTACATGCTAAGTATGCAAACATTTGCATTCATTAGGAAGAGGCTCTTAATTCACGTTTAATTGACAGCATTCAAGGTTTACATTTTATCAGTACATGTTTTCATGAACCATTTGGAAAGCAGCAGTGCAAATGATTTAATTTATAATAAACAAAATATACAATATATATAAAAATCCAACATTATTAAACCATTATAAAAGTTTTGATATAGGCTATTCCATCCACATTTGCATTGCAAGTAAGATTGGAAATGTATTTTCTTGTCCCTGAAATACATTTTGAAATATATTAATGTTGAATTTTAAATAAAAAAATATATTTAATTGAGCTTCACTATATTCACTATATTTCTGTCACGGTGTGCCTACTGTGAAGGAGCGAGGAGATGAAGGAGATTCCAGAATTATCACAGACTTTATTTACAACATAGAAAACCACACATAGGACACAGGGATCGAAGTTTATACAACAAGTAGACCTGACCCGACCCGACCAAACCAAACTGAACAGACTGGGGCTTATAAACACGGGGGAATGAGGATAATTAACTAAACACAGCTGGGAACAAATGAAGAACTAATCGGGGAACATAATGGGAACAGAAAAAGGAAGAACCAAATACGGGCATAAGAAACACATGGGAAAACCAGGAAATGGAGTACAAGGAACAAAGAAACACAAAACACGCAACAGAGTCTGACATTACTCCCCCCTCCCGGAAGCTCTGGAAGCCATGGCGGAGCAGGCAGACCAGGAATCCATGGCAGAGCAGGCAGACTAGGAGGCCATGGTGGAGCAGGCAGTTCAGGAGGCCATGGCGGAGCAGACAGCTCGGGGAGCCATGGCGGAACAGGGAGCTCGGGGAACCCTGGCGGATCAGACAGTTCAGGAGGCCACGGCGGATCAGACAGTTCACTAGGCCATGGCGGAGCAGACAGTTCAGAAGGCCATGGAGGAGTAGGGAACTCAGGAGGCCATGGCTGGATGGCCTCCTTGGCCTTGGCCTTGCCACTCGGCCCAGCCACTACAGCTGGGAACTCAGGACGCCATGGGGACAGGAGCCCTCCGTGGGCTAAACTCGGG